AAAAATAAATAAAAGAAAAGATGACACTATAATAAAGCCTCATCTTAAAAAAAAAAGATAGTCTTCTATACAGAAAAAAACAGGTAGTCTTCAAGATATGCACACAAATTCACTGATACAGTTCTCTTCTTCAAGAGGTGCTAGATTCCTTTCCCCTTGAGTATGGGCTGGATTTAGAATATGGCAGACATGATAGGATGTCACTTCTGAGATTAGGTTATAAAAAGATGGCTTCCAGCTCAGGTGCATGTGCTCTCTTTTTCGCTGTCTTTTCAATCACTTATTCTAAGGAAAGTCACCTGCCATTAGACACTCAAGAAACCTATAGAGAGGCCCTTGTGGTGAGGGACTGAGTCCTGTCAACAACCATATGAGTAGGGAAGCAGATCCTTCAGCCACAACCAATAGCTGAATTGCAACCTCACAGATACCCTGAGCCAGAATCATCCAGCTAACCTCTTCCCAGATTTCTGACCTACAGAAACTATGAGGTAATAAGTATATGTTGTTTTCAGTTGCTCAGTTTTGGGGGTAATTTGTTCTGCAGCAATAGGAATTAATACCTTTTACAAGAAAGAAACTGCTGTTCTCAGAATTTTCTACATCCATACTGCATTCCAGAAAATAGGAAGCAAAAATCTACAAAGTTTAGAGGAGAGGAAAGTATGATCCAAGATTTTTAGAGCTAGCTGAATTGTTCATGGATGTAGGGAACAGACAGACATTCTCAAGCATGTAAAAATTCAGGGAAGACAATAACCATGATCCTTTTTGGGAAAAAAAGAATTACTTGGGATAATTCAAACCTAACAATGAAGAAGTGATTAAAATTCTAAAATTCAGAAATACAAAAGACAAAGCAAGAAGATCAGGACTTGACATCAAATCCACTTAAATTAAAAAGATTGAGTTGTAAGAGGTAGAGCTACCACACAGAATATAAATGTCATAAAACGTGACAACATAAAAATAATATCATTCATAAAACTCATGGGCAAGAAGGCAGAGAAGTAGCAGAGAATGTAAGTGCTCTCATTTCTTCAGTTTTCTTACCAGCAAGTAAAAACTAGAGTTGAAAGTAGGAACTTGTTAAAAATTAATGACTGCCATCTCATCGTTCATGATCATTCTTCTTTAAAGAGATCTTTGAGAAAGTAATACCATCTCTGAAAAAATAATTCCTACAGTCTCACTTTAGCTTTTTTCTTAAATTCTTGTTTATATTTTACTTTAAAATTAGCATGACCATACATTAAAAAATTATATCTCTCTCTATACTTCTGTTTAAGTGTTTAGAGAGGTATCTGGAATGATGGTCATGATAAATCACAAATAATTTTTTTTACTATACTTTGGTATGATTATTATCCTATATTTTTATTTTATTCTTTCTACTTTTATGTGTTGCTTGAGTTTTTTTGGTGGGGGGAAAGCATGTATTGTTTTAGCTAAGTTAATACTTTTTAAAAAAAGGAAACAAGGGAGAAATAAATGAATTAAATATACAAGTTAAGGAATAGGAAAAATGATAAGATGAACTCCTATAAAACAAAGGTAAAAGTAGAAATTGATGAATTAAGATACAAAAAGTGAATTTAATTTATAAAATTTAAAACTTTCTTTGAAAAAGAGAGATAAAATAGACAACATTGTGGCAAAATTGATTAAGAGGTAAAGAGAGAAGGCACAAATAATTTACATTAAGTAGGAAGAAGAAAGGGACATCCCTCTTGGTGTTTTCTTTCTTCCTTATTTTCTCTTGTTAACCTTAAAAATAAAACTGCCAGTATGTTACCAGCAAAAATGGTCTTATTTGGGAATAGCGGAGAATTGCAATTTGGGATAAGCAAGCTACAGGCAAAACCATTGGCAAGTCCCTAGAACAAAAGGAGAGGGCTGAAGCTAGTGGCTTTTCATTGCCTGAGCTGTGACAGCCTTTTATTGCCTGGGCTGTTGCTGGGGCAGGAGAAAAATCTTTCTTCCTTCTGCTGGGATAGTGAAGTGGTGGCTAAACTAGTTTTGACTTGCATGGTTCCTCTCTTCCTGTTGGGTCTGCAATTGACTACCAGTGGTAGGGCATGAGAACTCCCCCTACTGGCCTCCTGACTCCACTCTAGTGAGGCTTCCCTTTATTATTTTCACACTCCACACTTTATAATCTTTGCTCATGCTGACAGGGCAGCCAGCTGTTTCCTGCCTGAAATCATTATCTTTGTTTTCCTTTTCTTCCTGGAGAGTCTTTAAACAGTAAGGCAACAGGGTCTTAGCCATCTGGTCCCTGCTTACTTCATCAGCATTAATTTTCATCTCAGCTCTGCCCATTTGTGGATCTTCCAACATTTCCCCAAATTGCCTGGGCTGTGCCCTGCTTCTGCGGGTCAATTGGGCTGCCTCCCCCTGTCTGGATCCTTTTCCAACTCATTGTCTGGGCAAACTACTCTTCAGTTCACCAAATTCAGCTTAAGTATACTCCTCTCTTTACAACGACTTCCCCATTTGTGCCCTTCTTTTTGACATCTCTCCCTGAAAGGTTCTAATATGAAGACAAACACTGCCGTCCATTTCCTTATTCCCTAACACAGAACACAGCCCTAAATGTTCAGTAGATGTTTGTGGAGTAAAGGCATGAAATAGCTACACAGCTCCTGGGCAGGAGGAGTGGCAGTTCCAGAATGGCATGGTCCCTGCCCCACCTCCCTGATTTGGGGTTCTCTGGATGAATAGGGTAGGAAGGAAAAGGATTTGAGGCCCAGCCTGTCACATGGGAACAAGTGGGGATGCAAATTATGGTAACATATGCACTAGCAATTTGTGACATGCTTGGTTCTCTGTCATTCATGTGTGCCTACTATAAGCAAAGTACAGTGAAGGACTCTGGGGATAGAGCCATGAGCTAGAGTGCTGAGGTCCTTCCCTCATTGGAGCTTACATTCTGGTGATGCTGACAGGTGAGGGGGCACAGGCAACAAATAAGTATGGTTTACTGGTTGTAACTATAGAAGATAATCACAAATAGCAATAAATGTGTCATGAAAGAACTAGAATGTGTACAGTGTGATGGAGACAGGGCTACTTCACAGCAAAATATTCTGTATGAAGGTACCACTTAAGCCAAGACTCTGTTGACAAGTGGGAGCTAGATTGGCTGAGAGGGGAGAACATCCTAAGTTGAGGAAGCAGAAAATGCAAAGACCCTAAGGCAAGAATGGGTTTGACATATCCAAGGCACAGGGAGAAAGGCAGTGTGGCTGAAGCACAGTGAACCAGAGACAGAGTCAGAAGATGACACGTGAAAGGGACCAGGACAGCCTTCTGGGCTTGCAGTTGAGCCTTTCTCTTTATTGGGGTTTCATTCAGTCATTGCAGCCCAAGGGGCTGTAGGCCATGGTGACCAAGTTCAGCGCTGAGATCCTCTACCCACCCAAATGATAAATACAGGCTTCCTATTCTGGTATAGAGGTGCCTTTAGAATTCCATGTAGTAGGCATGTGGGGTACCAAATTAGGAAGGAAACTCACCTTAAAACTGTGATGTGGGGTGCCTGGGTGGCGCAGGTAGTTGAGCATCCAACTCTTGATTTTGGCTGAGGTCATGATCTCAGGGTCATAGGATGGAGCCATGTGACCTATGTTGCAATAGAAAATGTAGTATTTTTATTTAGTTGCGGGACATAAACTTCAAAAAAATAATCATCTTGGTCAACAGACACATGAAAAGATGCTCACCATCACTTATCATCAGGAAATACAGATCAAAACCACAATGAGATGTCACCTCACATCTGTCAGAATGGCTAAAATCAACAACAGAGGAAACAACAGGTGTTGGTGAGGATAGGGAGAAAAAGCAACCCTCGTGCACTGTGGGTGGGAATGGGAACCAGTATGGAGGTTCCTCAAAAAGTTAAAAAATAGAACTACCTTATGATCCAGCAATCTGGGTATTTGCCCAAAGAATATGAAAACGTTAATTCAAAGAGATACATGCACCCCTATGTTTATAGCAGCATTATTTACAATAGCCAAGATATGGAAGCTGTCCAAGTGTCTATCAATTGATGAATGGATAAAGAAGATGTGGTATATATAGATGTGTATATATATATGTATTACATATGTATGTAATAATATATATTATATATAGTAAAATAATATATATTATAGAATGGATTATTATTCAGCCATAAAAAGTATGAAATCTTGCCATTTGCAGCAACATGGTTGGAACTAGAGAGTATAATGCTAAGAGAAATAAACCAGTCAGAGAAAGACAAATATATGATTTCACTCATATGTGGAATTAAAGAAACAAAACAAATGAACAAGGAAAAATAAAAGAGACAAACTAAGAAACAGACTCCTAACTACAGAGAACAAACTGATGGCTACCAGAGGGGAGGTGGGTGAGGGGATGGATAAAACAGGTTCTGAGTACCCGAGGATGTATGGAAGTGCACACCTGAAACTAATATAACGCTGTATGTTGACTAACTGGAATTAAAATAGAAACTTAAAGTAAAAAAAAAAAAATAACCATTTTTCCTAAAGATGACTTTATTTATTCACTCTTTTCATAAGATTGAGACATCTATCCTCACTGAGGTATGTCTACTTTTAAGATGGTTTCAAGGGGCTAGTGGAGATTACGAGGCATGGAAAGTATTCCACATGGGGCAACCCAGGGCCGCATCACGGAGACTGGGCGATCGGAGGATGTGCACACAAAACGGATAATAAGGTGGCAGATAGACCTCCAACTCTGAGAAGGGATGAAGACTCCCGGTGGCCAGGAACGGCCTAGTTCGCATGCGCGGGGCGGTGCCGGGGGCGGGGCGGTGCCGGGGGCGGGGCGGTGCCGGGGGCGGGGCGGCGCCGGGGGCGGGGCGGCGCCGGGGGCGGGGCGGCGCCGGGGGCGGGGCGGCGCCGGGGGCGGGGCGGCGCCGGGGGCGGGGCGGCGCCGGGGGCGGGGCGGCGCCGGGGGCGGGGCGGCGCCGGGGGCGGGGCGGCGCGAGCGGCGGTTCCGCCGACTTGGCGGCAGGTACCTGGCTTGGGTGGTGTTCGCTTTTCCCCGTTCCCAGGTCCACTCCCGGCGCCAACGCCCGCCTCTCGGTCCCTGAACTGCCCCGGCCAGGCCGGGAGCGACACCGCCGCCCTGGCACAGCCACCGCCACCACCGCCGCCGCGGGCACAGACATCGCCGGGGCCGGTGAAGGTGGGCGCGGTCCCCAACCGCCGCCTGGGCAGTGTCCGCGGCGTGCCCATGTCTTCACCGCCAGGGCGCCGGGCCCGCCTGTCGTCCCCCGGCACCGGCCGCTCGTCCTCCGAGGCCCGCGAGGAGCTGCGGCGCCGCCTCCTGGGCCTCATCGAGAGCAACCGAGTGATGATCTTCAGCAAGAGTTACTGCCCGCACAGCGCGCGGGTAGGTGGGGCGGGGGCGCGGCCGGCCGGAGCGGGGGTCCCGGCCGGCTGGTGGCGGGGGCAGTGGGAGCCTGGGGGAGGCGGGGTCTTCCGGAGTCCTGGGGACTTATCCCTCCCGTGACCCTGGGGCACGAGTCCCGCCCGTTCAGCGAACCGGGAGGCGGCGCGAGTGCTCGGCGGCCGGGACTCCGGACCCGGGCCTGCGGGTGGTGGTGACACGGAATGAGGACTGGGCCCTGTGGCGTGGCCCCTTTGGCACCGCTGGAGAGGCGGCCACGCTGCCCACCTCCTAGGCTCAGCGTACTTGTTCTGGGGCCTCCGCCTGGGGGGTTAACCGCTGGTCCTCCCGCTTCTGGCTGTTAGCCTGACGTTGGCTTCTTTATCAAGAGTTTACTTGGTGAGATAAAGGGGATTTCCGGAAAGTTTTTGCCTGGTAAAAGGGTAGTATGAGGAGAGGCCACGATTTGGGAGTAGACTAGAGCTGGATTCAGATCCCACTTTCTAACCGCGTGACCTTGACCAGGTTACAGAACCCCACGGAGCCCTGGTTTCTACATCTTGTAAAATGAACATAATGAGGGGTGAGAGGATGGTACCAGGTGATGAGTAATTTCACCTGTCTTGCACACTACCTTAACTTTGGGGGGGGTGGCTAGCTGGGAATACAGCATTATTTTTAGGGGCACATTTGTTCTTAGTGGAAAAAATAACCCACTTAGAAACGAACCTTTGGAAGATAAACCCATCTGTATGATAGGGACTTTCAATATTTTGAACTATACATTATCAAAAAGTTGAAATAACAATAAATGGAATATACAAAAACAAACTCTTGGGTTAGGTTTGTCAAATTATAGGCTATGTTTTTCAGATTTATTTTCAAGTTTACATTGCCTTGTATATTGTTTCAGAAAACATATATATCATGCATATACATCTTAAAGAATAATAAAACACTAGTATTTTGGACACCTTGAATGTCTCTCCCCGATTAAACTGCTAACCTTAAAAAGTAAAACTGCTAGTTATCTCACCAGCAAAAATGAGTTTATTCAGGAATAGCAGAGAATTACAATCCAGAACAAGCAAGGTACCATGAAACCATAGGCAAAACCATAGGCAAGTCTGCTCAACAGAGGAGAGGGATGCTCTTTTATAGGGGAAGGGTGGTAGGTAGTGTTGGGGAGGGCTTTATAAACAAAAAGTCCATTGGAGTAAACTGGGAGTTCCAAGCATAATGACTTTTCACTGGCTGTGTTGTAACAGTCTCTCATTGGCTGGTCTGTTCCTGGGGAGAAGAAAGCTGTTCTTTCTGCTGGGGTACTAACGTAGTATCTGAGCAAGGTCCTTCTCTTCCTTGTTGGGTTTGCAATTGATGAGAGTGGTAGGGCATGAGAACTATCCCTGCTAAATCTCCTAACTACATTTAGTGAGGATTCCCTTTATTAATATTCACATTACATACTCCTCCCTCCCCCCAGGGTTAACCACTATCCAAAATTCCTTGCTTTTCTTTATAGTTTTGCCAAATACATGTATATCTTTAAATGGTATTTTGTTCCTTTTGGCGTGTTTTGGTACTTTATCATACATACGTATTATTTTGCAGTTTTTTTCTCAACAGTTATGTTTTAGAGAATCATGCATGTTAGTATCTGTAGCTGTGGTTTGTTAATTTTCATATCTGTAATCCCTAGGATGAATCATACCATAGTTTATTGATTGTGCTGTGTCTAGTATTTTGCTCTTGAAAACAATACAGCTGTGCCTTTTCTTGCACATATCTTCCAGTGCATGTGTGTAACACTTAGAGTAGATAGATATCTTGAAGCTGAATTACTGGACCATAGAGGATGCATGATTTCTACTTTGCCTAAGTGATGCCAAGATGTTTTTCCAAGCGATCATACCAATTTACTCTCCCACTGGCAGTATAGAACAGTTCCCCTTGCTCTACTTGCTTGCCAGTGATTGATACATTTAATTATTGCCATTCTGGCAGTTATGAAATGGTAGTTTACTGTGGCTTTAATTTTGCATTTCCCTGAAGAAGTTGAACATCTTCTCTTGTGTTTATGGGTCATTTGGGTTTCCTCTTCTATGAAGTGTTTACAGCTTTTACTTATTTCTCTGTTATGTTTTTATTTTTGTACTGATTTTTAGGTATTCTTTGTATATTTTGGATACTAATCCTTTGGATATATATGTTGGAAATGTCCCAGATTTGGCTTTTCTTTTCACTCTGATTATGGGATCTTTTAGCTAACTGAAATTTGCCAAGTTTAATGTAGTTGAATCTGTCACTTTTTTTTCCCTTTGATAGTTTGTGCTTTTTATGTCACATTTAAAAAACCTGTTTCTACTCTGAGGTCATAAAGATAGTCTCCTGTTTTAGGTCTTGTAAGTTTTAGGGTGTGCTTTTCACACTCACCTTCTTTATTCCACCTGTACTTGATGCTGAGTGGGGATCCAGTTTGTTTTTTTCTTTATGACTTATCAGTTATCCCTGCTTCATTTATTGGAGAATCCATCTTCTGTGCTATTTTGAATGCTCACTCATCATCCATCTGGTTCTTACATATGCATTGGTCTGTTCTAAGCACTGCCTTCTATCGTTTTGTTTTGTTTTTAAGTTGTCCTTTGGAGCTTATAAAAGGGCCAAGAGATCAGAACTGTGCCTGTCTACTGCTATATCACTGGGGTCTAGAACAGTGTCAGGCATTTAATGTGTGTTAAACTAATAAATGGTCTTAGGTCATTCTAGTTAAACCTTTGCTGATGCAGAAAATCTTAGGACAGTTGATCCTCCTCCACCCTGTGTTTGTCAACACTACCAATAATGTGGCCACTAGTTTCAGTCCCATTACATAATTGGACAGCTCTGATTATAAGAATTTTTTTTTTGTTTTAAATTGAGGCAAAATTTGTCTCCCTGAAATATATACTCAGTTTTGGAGTTGAATGTTACTCCAGTGCATAGAATTAAGAACCTGCTTCTACTTGGATGGCAGATTTCTTTGTATTTTCCCTGAGTGTTTTTCTTGTCTGGCTAAGCAGCCCACTTTCTTTATGTACTCATATCATTTATCTATACACGTGACACTTCACTCATTTGATTGTGTGATAGCTTGATTATGAACCTTTGAAATGTATCACCCCAAATTGGACACCATATTCCACATCTGTCCTTACCTGCACAGAGTCCAATAGAGAGGTTTGTTCCTTGATTGGACCACTAATATCATTCAGCAAGCGTTATGGGGGCCCAATGTTTGGGACACGAAAATGAATAAACTGTGGTCTTTCTTCCCAAGAACTCATAGTCTAGTGAGCAGTAATCAAATAGCTGTCCTGTCCTGCAGGAAGTACCTGTAAAAAAAAAAAAAAGGGCTGTGGGAATGAGAGACAAAGACAGTTGCTTCTATGGGAGATCAGAAAATTTTCAGGGAAACTAAGCTGTTCCTTGAGGGATATGTTGGATATCTGTAGGTAAGAAAGAGCATCTAGCTAGGGCATTAGTATAAGCAAAACTAGGAGATGATGAAATGAAAATAGTGTGGCTGGATGGAGGAGATATGATAGAAATCAGAAGAGTAAATTGGAAAATGGCTGGAAATTTACTTTCAAAGTGATATTGGTGAGACCTTAAAATGCTGCTAAGTGTGGACTTGATGATGTAGGCAGAGCCATCTCAGACTTTTGAGAAGAGGAGTGAAAGGTCTGTGATTTGAAATCTGTCAGTGGTGTGAAGATTAGACTAAGTGTGGAAGCTGCTAGACAGTCTGGAAGCTATTGTTCAAATCAGATACAAGATAATGGCCCAAACTACAGTGGAGAAAATGCCCTGATATTTTAAATCCCTTGCTCACATTAACTTTAAGCCATGTTTCCCCAGCCCTGAATTCATATGTTTGTATGTTAAAATTTTACACATCTATTATTAGCTTTTGGGGGGGTAGTAAAATATATATAACACAAACTTGACTATTTTAACCATTGTTGTGAACCATGCCTGCCATCTGTCTTTCATCTTCCCCAACTGAGTTCCTCATTCCCCCTCCCATCAAGCCTTGGAAACCACCATTCTGCTTTCTGTCTCTATGAATTTCACTAAGCTTGTTACCTCATATAAGTGGAATCATTTGTGACTCGCTTATTTCACTGAGCACAGTGTCCTCAGAGCTCATCCATGTTGTTACCTGTGTCAGAATTTCTCTCCTGATTAATATTCCATTGTGTGTATGTATTTACTACATGATGTTTGTCAGTTCATCCATTGGGTCTCCTCCACCTTTTGGCCATAGTGAATGTTGCTGCTGTGAACATGGGTGTACAAATATGTGTTTGAGTCCCTCCTTTGAATTATTTTGGGTATGTACTCAGAGGTGGGAATTGCTGGATCACATATAAGGTAGTTCTATTTTTTATTTTTTGAGGAACCACCATACTGTTTTCTATAGAGGTCATGCCATTTCATTTTTCCACCAACAGTGCACAAATTTTCCAGTTTCTCCAAATCCTCACTTTCAGGGAAAATAACACTTGTTATTTTCTGTTTTTTTGTTTTGTTTTTGTTTTGATAGTAGTTATCCTAATGAACATGAAGTGGTATCTTATTATGGTTTTGATTTGCATTTCCCTGATGGCTAGTGATGTTGACTATCTTTTCATGTCCTCATTGGCCATTTGTTAATGGCTAATATCTGTATGCATTTTTACAAAATTTGTTTTTGGGGTTTTGATAGAGATTGCACTAAATCTGTAGATCACTTTGGGTAGTATTACCAATATGAAGTCTTCTAGTCCATGAACATGGGGTTTCTTTCCATTTATTGGTGTCTTTAATTCTTTCAGTAATATGTAGTTTTCAGTGTAGAAATCTTTGCCTCCTAAGTTTATTCCTAAGTATGCTTCTTTATGCTATTGTAAGTGGAATTTTTTCTTAATTTCTCTTAGATTGTTCATTGTTAATATATATAGAAAAGCAACTGATTTTTTTGT